TTTGAGAATCACCCTTCAATCTTTTGGTTTACTTTGCTGAATATAGCAAAAGATGACAAAATAACCATTTGAAACAAGATAAATGGTCTATGCTTAATTTCATGAAGTGTGCGATTAATCACAGAAAAAGGGTGTGATTATTCTGATTAAAAATTGTCATCTATTGACAGCCCTAATGTGCGTATATGTATATATATATATATTTATAGAGAGAGATGAACAGATAGACGGATAGTTAGCCAGACAGTATGTATACATACATACGTATATACGTACGCACGCATGCGTATATATATATATATATATATATATATATATATATATAAATAAATAATCTAAATTAAATATACAAATACATGTATAAAATGTTATAAGAATATTTAATAAAATAATAATTGATAATAATAGTAATTTATTATTATTATCATTAATGTTACAACTTAAATTCCATACAAACCCTATGTATTATTTAATATATAGCTTTAGATCACGCTCTTATATTAATTTAATTTCCCCATGCAGATCGTCTATCCTTTCCCCAAAGCATATATTCCGATATAGAGATCGGAGATTACAGATTGTTTTCGGTTGTGAGTAAAACGCGTTTTGCTCTGTTCCCTCCTCCACAGCACCGAACATCCTGCAGCGGAGCTCGTACTAATCTCAGCCCGGGTTAGAGCATCCCTGATCCGGCTACTGCAGGCAGCCACAGCCCCTCTCCTCTCCACCCAGACATGGATCAAACTGGCACCCAAGGATTTGAATGATCAGATTTGGTACAAACGCATCAATCGCATTTTATCGCGGGGATCTCAACGCATCAATTACCCATGCAAGGAAATAAACGAAATCAATGTGCAAATGAAGCAATACATTTGATTTTAGTTTAGGCTTTAATGGGAGGAACACCATTTGGGTCATTTGCCTAGAGGAAAACAATATTTTAGTCATGTGACTGTTACAGATGTGACAGACAAACAGATTGAATGCATGATATCACCTTTTTTTCCGAGTATCTATTTAAGAGCGTGAGCCCTCACATCCTAACACATCCCACCGCTGCATGGCCAGATGAGACGCAAACTACGGTTTCTCGACTTGATAACCAGTCTCGCTAGTAAAGTTTTGATGGATAAAGACTGCAATCAAGGTTAAGACGATTGCGGTGGCGTACAGGAGTCGTACAGTACAGTACAGTAAGCACGCGTGAGTCCATTATAATAATGCGTGTATGAGTGCTCTTGACGCACTGATCGCACATTGTATTTATGCACAGGCACAGACATTTCTGTACATTCACGTTGTTTCCACACACATTCGCGATAATGTTTTGATTTGTCTTGTTTATGTTGCTGTGTTTAGTTATTCTGAATGGATCAGTGTACTGTAGATTTATGCAGTCAGCAGGCGGTTGGTTTAGGGATTTTTTGGCATCTCCATGTGGTCCTGTTCGGTATCGCAAATTGGCTTCTCTAAAATGTAAAATAGCTATTTGCTGTTGCACTGTACACATATTATACAATTCAGATATATACTGTAAATATTGTTTTTGTGCATTTTTTCTTTCATATGTGCTTATATGGGCTCCTTATATCATTTGGTTCTTTGGTATCCTTTTGGAGTCTTCTACATTTATCCTGAGATAAACTTGCAGAAAATACAGATTTTTGAGAATCACCCTTCAATCTTTTGGTTTACTTTGCTGAATATAGCAAAAGATGACAAAATAACCATTTGAAACAAGATAAATGGTCTATGCTTAATTTCATGAAGTGTGCGATTAATCACAGAAAAAGGGTGTGATTATTCTGATTAAAAATTGTCATCTATTGACAGCCCTAATGTGCGTATATGTATATATATATATATTTATAGAGAGAGATGAACAGATAGACGGATAGTTAGCCAGACAGTATGTATACATACATACGTATATACGTACGCACGCATGCGT